TTTTTCTAAAAAATAAGAGATAACCCTAACTGATCAAAAATAAAAAAAAAAAAAGAGAAAATCAACTCGACACGCTCGATTTTCACTGATATCGCGAACGGTGAACAACCACAAGAACGATCGATAAATAAGAAACAAAATACTCATTAAAGCTCCAAGTTCGGACCCCCAACACTAGCGACAAGTATCAAGCTTACGTATCATAACTTATGTACGTGAAACACGTAAACAATGCCTAGTAAAAAAAAATAGAAAAGAAAGAGAGAGAGAGAGAGAGAGAGAGAAAGCTGTCAGACAAACTAGACATATCCAGTCGAGTATGTATGATACATAATGCATAAACTCGCACATGTACGTGATGATACGCCTGCACGAAAAAGAAGCGTCGTTTCGATAAAATGGGAGAAATACAATTGTCTAGTCATTTGGACTCGCACCTCTGATATCCGTGGATGGTTCGCTTCTGGACAGCTCGTGATCGTTGCCACGACACGAGGTCGCCTTCGACGGACTTTTATAGTGAGCCAGCACGTCGCTCTTCCCGGACGAGCTCTGGTTTTGATGAGGGAAATGAAAGGTCGTGGTGTGGGGCCACGATGCGGGCGGTGGACTTCGTACCAGGTGCTCGTGCACTTGGGCTAAGGTTAAGGGGTCGGTGTCGCCCAGTTCCTGAGGACAAAGATACATCTTATTTCAGTAATTGGACGTTCATTTTCTTTGGATTTTCCAATATTCCATGATTTGTCGTTCCATTTAACAACGAGATTGTAATTGGCTATAAGAAGAATTTTAAAGTGAATTTTGAAAATAAAAAGTTAGTTAGTAAATTGAAATAATATGTAAAAGCAGGCACGATATGATTTTTTTGTAAAAAAAAAAAAAAAAATAAGAAAAGATACATAGAATAAGATTTTTTGATCTAAGGCTTCGTTTACGAGTTTGTAAATTTATCGAGTACATTACTTGAATATAGTTGGTTATAAACGTGACGAAAAAGAATAATTGACAAGAAGTTATTCTACGTGTGTGAATAAGTAAATAATTTAGTAAGATGCTTCGTTTTTAAAAAAAAGTTTGAAAAGTTAGGCAATTTTTGACAACAAGACATATCCGTTTAAAATCCATCAAATAAAAAACTTTATTTTATATATTGGACTTACTTTTGCACGTTGAATGATCAATTTTCTCGAATTTACGCCATTTTGATCTAATAAATCGGATCTTTATGCGAATTCACGTTTTTACGAACGTAATTAAAAAAGCGGAACTTCGTAGAAAATTATTTTATATTAACATATTAAATGTAAGTGGGAAATACTATACAGATATTTTATCTGTTTTTTCATATTATGCATTTCGCGTAATTTCGTGTTTCAAAATGTTAACGCACAAAACTCCGCAGTCTAATAATTAGGCTGTGAATGCTCATGAAAATTTCACTTTTATAGAGATAAATAGTGAAATAGTACCTACGTGAAAATTAACGAGCTCATAAAAGTGGACATTACCGTCTTTAACTTCTGTGTAATATATTTCAATCATTTAAAAAAAAAAAACTGAGATAATTTCATTGCAATTATATCGCAGAAATTTTTATAAAACTAATTAATTTTCATTCGACGGTAAGTTTTTGTAATATCAATTCCACAGATGTGAGTCTGATTGTTATAACAATAATGAATCATTATTATCTTAAATAATTAATTATTTTCATATATTTTTGTGTAATATACGTGTAATATTATAATAATTGTGTGCATACAGTATTTTAATATTAATTTAATATCGATATTAATTATTATAATATACGTATGTGTAACATTGTAACATTTCGATTCTTTATAGTGCAAAAATATCCACTAGTGATCATGACAACTGGAGGAAAGAAGATTCTATGAAAAATCGAATAGTAAGCGTACAGAAGAAAATTTTTCTATATCGAACTACACTTGTTAGTTCCACTGTTTTTGTTAAAAACTTTGTTGAAGTTAGCTTCAAGATAGCTTCAAGAAAAAACCGTGTTTCTCGAAAAATTCTCCATCGAATTGCGAGGCGGTTGTAACAATCGTAATTAAATACACAGAAACTTGCTAATTTAAAACGTTAGACTTTTTATTAGCATGAAGAAGTTATTCGATAAATCCAGAAGATTATGATTGAAGCTAACGGTTTGCCCACTTTTTCATGCTGACAAAAAGTCCTAACGGTCACCACGCTCGATCGCGGTTAATATCTTTGTTATCATTCCCAGTCGACTGTTTTATTTAGAGTTTCCAGAAGCGATTGGCATCAGATCATTTTTCGATCACATCAGATCAGAATTTTCGAATTAACGCTATCTAGATCCGAACAGTCGAATGGTCCACACTTCAAACTGATTGGGCAAAAAACACGCAACTATACGGAAGTTACGTGCAAAAATAGATAGTCGTGATACACAGAAATACAATTTAGAATCGATCGATTAAGTTTGAGTCAGTGCCAATCATAAGCGGCCCAACAAACTTTCTAGATCTATTTCTTATTACTAGTATCAGCACGGAATAATAACTTTTCTCTAGGTGTCTTCTGCTTTACTTACTCACATAATTTATCAAGCAAAGTTTCACAGTTTCAGGGAACTTGCTAATACTATTTTAGCTAATTACTAAGTGACCTATTTGTAGTTTGACATTTTATTGCTATCGACTTTCTGTTGAATAAACTTCGCCCATGAAGTTAAATTTGTTCCATCAAATTTTATCTAATACGTATATTTTGCATTGAGAATGCAATTCGAGTTGCCTCTCTGTATTTTCCGTGTCTTAATATCACTAAACGAGATCCGAAATTAAATTTGAAATTTAACACGTACGGGATTAACAATCGATGAGATTTCTATTTCTCGTTAAATATCGATCTGACTTCGATACGAATTACACTGGCTCGAGATAACTAAATAACGCAAGTGTAGCTGATATCTTCCAAGAAATGTCAATTGCCTTCACTTTCCACTTAATTTTTAAGATTCAGAATCTTCATCGAATGTCAAAATTAAGCGTCTGACACGTCAGTATATGTTGCTTTCGATTTGATCTTCACGTGGTACTTGCTATACTTATCTGATCGAAGACACGGTGCAATTAAATAACATGGAAGCAATAACAGTGATGATAATTTAAGTGTCTGCAAATGAAAAAGTTTAACACCGGTAATCGGTAATTATACTTTTACATCTCTTGTGGTGAATATGCATGATCGAGTTTACCGGTTCTAATGATCGAAGCTACAGGAATTCACCGAAAGTTCAACAATAGAATCTAGGTAGGGTGCATTAGAGTCTCGTGCAGAAAGCTACTATAGCAAGGCTTATTGTAATCGTGGCTCGTCAGTTCAGGGTTAATGGAATGAATGTACCATCTCTTACAATGGACAACTGTTATGAATGATCGATAATTACTGTCTGATTATACAACCGGCTTGTTGTATTCTAAGAATACCACCTTCGAAATGAATCGTGCAAGCAATATTGAGATGACTTCAATTGCTCGGATAGCCAATATAGATAGTTCCCTACCAATTTGAAATTATGTATTGAGTTTGGTATCCAAAGCTAGATGTACGACATTCATTTCTTTCAGTGATTGGCAATAATTTATGGTAATATATAATAAATAATAATTTATAATAATTATTTATAATAATTATAATATATAATAAATAATAATTTATAATAATTATAATATATAATAAATAATAATTTATGGTAATATATAATAAATAATAATTTACTTCTGAAATAAATTTTATCATTTCTTTTGAATATGCGTAAATTACATTCATAATATCATTCTTTATATAATAATTAATATATAGCAATAAATATAATTATTGAAAAAGTTGTTAAATTATACTTAAAAAACTTTTTAATTTGATTTTATTTTGATTTAATTTGTTTAAAGTAACAAATAATTGTGTTTTGAGCTATTAGCAAGAATTGTAACAATTGTAAATTAGTAACAACTAATATTGAAATAACGTAATTTTTCGAAATAATTTTTATATCCAGAAATCACTCTAAAGAAATATTTCATAAATATAATATTATTTTTTTAAATACTAAATAACAACAATAAATAATTATGTTTATTAAAAAAGTAATTAATAATTAGTAATTATATTTAATTAAAAATATTTCTTATTTTAATTCATTAAAAATAATAAATAATTGTTTTTATACTGTTTAGCAATAAATTACTGTAAAGCCATCGTTTTGAAGTAATACGTTTATATTCAAAAACCACTCTGAAATAATTAGCTGTACTCTGAATCAGTATGTAAAATAATTTTTTGAAATATTTTTTATAGAAATATTTTAAAATATCTCTTGTCGAATATTCGCTGTAACATTACTGATAGTTGATTCGAGTGATGTGTTACAAGTATTCGCGAAATTTTACAATTAATCTGTGGATGTACTGTCACCAAACAATTATAGTGCAACTTATGCAACAGCTAAGCTTCTCAGTATGATCTATCTGCTTTTAAAAAAAAGGCATTGTCGTTTTTTTTGATACGACATCAGCTACGTACGAAAATTTCAAAAATTTGTGCAATAACTAGACGTTCTTATCTTACTTTTACTGTTCGTCTCTAAATGTGAAAGAATCTCTTGCGCCACTAAAAGGAAAGATACTCGGTCCTTTTAATATTGATTTTCAAAATTATTCAAGTACGACCACTAGAAAAATTTTAATTCTTCGAAAACTATAAAGAACTATCTTCGAGCAATATGTTATTTCCTCAAAATCAGCTAAATCAAATTAAATTTAATAATACGAAATAAAGAAATTGATGTCAATCAAAGTAAGATCTGGAATCGTTTCTGTTTTTACGATCCTGAAGTCAACGTTAATTAAATTAATTCAGTTAATTGAGCTAATTGAAAAAAGTCACGTCAATTTTGTGGCAAAGTTAAAATACGAAGAATCCAAAGAATCCCTCACCTTGTCGAAAATTTCGTCACTAGACTGCAAATGTCTATGCACAACGCAACATTTAAATGCACCGAATTCTACAGAATACCCAAAAATGTACAGACTCGTGAACAATTGATAGAAATGATTCGAGACAGTAAAATTGAGCCCTAAAAAAAGAATAGTATTGTTCAGGTGATTTTCGCGAGATATCGCGAGACAGTCGCAATTCGAAATTTATGTCACGTAA